AGAAGAAGTTTGTCTGCCCAGGAGGTAATCATAAGGATGACCAAATCTGCTCATGGTGTGTGGGCTTCTCCCTCGTGCACTTCGAAGCAATCCCCCAGACAGACCTGCCAGCTGGGTGGCTTGCTACAAATCAAGGCTTACTCACCTTCATGTCAGATGTGCACAGCTGTGAGCACCACCATCTGGGCTGTATCCTCTGTATATAAGATTAGGCTGATTTCAGATGAGCTGTGGAAATGGCATAGCCATAGCATCATTTAGAAATCATGTGCTGGGGCAGGGGGAACCCACACTGTGCTCTCTTTATGTTATGAGGGAGTATGAGAAAATGTGCAGAGCCAAACCATGCTTTCCACTCTGGCCTGGAGCAAGAGAGGAGGTGTGAGCTAGCCCAGGGTGCACGGCACATTTCCCGCCCGCTGCTCTATTGTACTAAGGGAGGAAAAAAGCAAAGTCTGCTGGAGAGAGTGCCCCTGCCTATCATCCCGTGTCTGACCAGGGTACAGAGGGCAGAGAGCATAAGTGTGAGTTGGTGTCCCATCTCCTCAGTTGTTCCTAGTGCTGACTTTTCTCTGGGTATGCTTCTCATCTGACCCATTTCCTAGGGCAGTTGTGTCCCTTGGGGGCCAATGGAGGCTTAGTCCCCCTTCATTCCTGTTCATGCAAGCAACACAGGTCTCACCCACCCTGGTATATGTAACAGGACTTCCTGCAAGATCGTGTTAGCCTGGGCATCTTGTGCAGTCTCACAACAGTTCCCCTCATCTTTGATCATGACATTCCACTTAGAGAGCACTTATATTCTGGAGGGGCTGAAAGTGAAGAATGATGCAGTTGTGACCAGTATTTCAGGGGTCCTTGGAGATACTCAACACTGTTTTGAATGCTCCAATATACAATGAGGAGCAGAAGAGGTTTGTTTAATGTTGCCAGGGAAGGCAGTCCTACGTCTCTTCTCAAGACATAGTCTTTTGATACCTCCTTTATCTCCCTAGAGAGTTTACAGGATAGGACCAAGGCTCTTCCCTGACATACACAGTCATGTGCCCCTCCATGGGCACATGATATATATTGTCATTGGAAGTGTTAAAACTCCTTTCCCTCCCTGTTCTGCTCAGAGACAAAGAATGGCAGACTTCTATTTACAATAAACAGTTGCCCTGCATAGCTGTGAAGAGCACTGTGAAGGGAACCCAAACATGACAGATAAAAGTGCTGCTGGTTGGGTCTGAGGGCGTTTGCCAGAATGAGAGTGACGTTCAGCTGTAGCTGTGATTGCCAGGGCTCAATGGATGCCGACGCTTGTTGCTGACAGGATTATAACCTTTTGTATCTGTGACCCACGCCAGCGCTCCAGTGTGTCACACCTTTGTTACTGGTACCAGGATTGCCCTTTCTTGTCAGCAGGGCTGAGTGACACATCTTCATTACCCTGGTGCAGGAGGAAGCCTGCCTCTTTGTGTCCATCTCTGCACTAGGGAATAGAGTCGGTTACTCCTAGCACAGACCTTGCTACTGTCATGCTCCTAAGCAGAGTTTTGGTGTCCCCACCTAAACACAGAGCATCCATGCTAGTTACAGGATGGAAGCTCCTTTCTAAAGACTTCTATATTTATGCTGTGAGCACTAGGACAGTTTGACCCACTGTTAGCTGCACAGACCACCGAAAAATTAGACACTGGGGATGTGAGGCAATAGCCAAATTGGTTGGGTACAGATGGGAAGAATGGCCTTCTCCATGGTGTGTTTGATGCTCTGTATGCATCTTGCTGTATTGTGGGAATGTGCAGCGGTGGGGAACATATTTCCTCTTTGTTTCTGAAATGGCAGCTGAATACATTGCAGTGACAGTGGTGGGAGACTCAGTGCTACTCAGTAATGGCCACGTGCACCACGTCAAACAGAAGAAAAATAATTTGGGGAAGCTCAATAATAAAAAGCGACTTCATTTTGAAAAGCAAAAGCTTATCCCTCCTCAAATACCCCAAAGACTTTTTCCAGGCAGGGACCGCAGCTCTGCTGTCGCAGCTGCTTTAGGAAGACGGCACTTGCAGGGCTGGAACAGCAATAATCCAAGTGGCCTCTTTGGCCACTGCTGCCTGCTGAGTCTTGACGGCTTTGCCATGCCAAAATGCAAGTTCTTCAGAGTGGCTGTACGGAGCAACCAGACCTGCCACCTAGGGGATGATTTAGAGTGTACTTTCTAGAGTACAGACTTAGCTCAGCTTTAGATTGTAAATTTTGTAGGAAAAAGTGATAAACCTGTGAGAGCCACAGTCTCGACAGAGATTTCCAGGTACTTCTAACATGATTCTTCTGAGGGAGTGACTGCAGGCTTAGGCCTCCAAGAATGCTCCAACAGCCCAGCATGTACAGAGCTTTGGCTCTTATCGCAAGCAGTCCCACCCTTGCCCTGAGTTATTGAGCTCAAGAGCTTAGTGATGAGCACTTGCAGGGCCCTTACTTACCACGATAAGGTATCGATACTAAAATTGTGCTTGGTTTGTGGGGGTTTGATTTCTGCATATACTATTTTTTCTGTGTCTTATATGTGCAATCATAAACCAGGAGTTGGGTTATTCAGCCCCCCAAAATGTTTTTAGCTCTGTGCTATGACACAAAGTCTCTGATTGTCAAAGCAGAGGGGATAGGAAGCTGTGGCAAGAGTGGCAACCCTGGTGATAAGAGCAAGGACTATCATGATAGTTCCCTAAATTCCTGCTATTGTGGATTTAGGCATATTGTAACTATGTATTTGAAGCAGGCATTTACAGGTGGCTCCTAGTCATAGGATGCAAAGGAGCAGCCATTAGAAATTTAACTCTGCATTCTTCATAGCTCAGGTTTCCAGTAATATCTCCAGGAAAACTGTGGTATCTGTGCCAGTTCATTGGCTTCAAAGTTTCAAGTCATGGAATTAAAAAGTTTCTCTAGGTGAAATTCAGCTCAGCAAGAAGGATGCAAACTTTACTTTTCATGACATCATTTCCCCAAAGCAAAATTAGTCTTTTTTGCAGAATTTTAATGCAAAAGTGACTTAGAACACAAAGAGTTTGGGATGCTTTGACAAGGGAGCATCAAACTCATGGTAAGCCTCTTAAAAAAAAAAAAAAAGTTGCTTTCAATTTAACATGGTGTATAGCTGCTTGCTCCCTGTTGCAGTGGACACTGAGATTGCAGGGGTTGATGGCTATGCTGGAACGAGAACCTCAGGGTACTTCTAACATTCAGTTTTCGGCTCTGACCATCAGCATCCCTTAATCCTGTTTACTCTTCAGCCTGTATTCTTTGATGCTTTATGTTCTGAAAATCTAGGGGATGGTAGGATCTAGTAGAGATTTGTCATTTCTTCCTAAATAATGTCACTGCATCTTTTTATTTGGTCATTGATATGTAAGGTAATAATTTCTATAGTTAACGGAATGACTGAGAACAAGGATTTTGTCCTCTCTTGTTTAGTAAATCCTAAAAACCAAAGTTATATATGTATTAATATTTAAAACCAGCACAGCCACATCATGGGAGACATCTAGCATTAGATGAAGTTTCCAAAGGGTTGTTAAAATAAAGAAAAAAGTTAGCTTCCAAAAAAGTGGTGTTTGTTTTTACTTCACCTAATTAAGTTGTTAAAATGATACTAGAATAATTATGATTGCTTGCTGTAAATCTGCATAGATTCAGCTCCCTTTGATTTTTTTTTTTCCATGTTATAAAGATTAGTTTACTGTCTGTGGGCTGAGTCCTTCTTGCATTACACATGTGACTAAATCCATGGGGCCCAGTGACCAGAAAGAAAGATGGAGAAAGGCATTAAAATAGTTTAGCCCATTCAGCTGCAAAGTCATCTTGCACATATTTTCCCCCTAACTGGTTTTGTGTATATTATTGTCAAATATGAACCTGCAGAATATCTCCGGGTCTGGAATCCTGTCCCCTTAGAGCAGTCAGCAGTTCTCCTGCAGCCTTGCTTAGCGGCTGGTACATGCTGGTCTATGTATTGCGCTGTTTTCCTAAGCAATCATTTTCATATTTAGTTTCACACTTTCTTAATTATTTTATATAGCTCATTTGTTTCCAGTATCAGCCTGCATCTGCTCTTTCATTTTTTAAGCTGCCTGCACAATTTGGAAAGTTATCAATAGTATGCAATCACTAAAGCAAAACAAACAGATGAAAATTAATCTGAACTTACTTTATGGTATTGAAAGACAGTGAAAAGTATTGGTCATAATATGTAGATGTAGGGCCATCCTCATACTAAATGAACCAGTTTTAATGTCTGGATAAATAGCTGTATACTTATAAACTAAACCTTTTCATCCAACTAGTCCGACTTGCTAAGGATCATTGTCAAAATTTTGAATCCCTTTAAAAGTTATTTTTCAGAACATGGATATTCTGTATATAACTTCTGTTGTACTATTTGAAATGGAAATGGGCTGCAAAGCCTGCCAACTCATCTTTCATGTGCCTTTCCCACTGGTGTGTCTCTCTTTCTGCAGAATCAAGCTTGCACAGCAGAGAATTTCTGTGTTCCCTTTTACACGTGGTCCTCGTTAAAAAAAAAAATACAATAAAGTTTAGCTGTGGTGAAATTATTTATTTGATTTTTTTTTTAACTGGTGCAAAAAGTAAATATGTTTACTGTGCCTCCATTCAGTGTATTTCCTTTTTTAAGCTCCATTTGTGTTCAACAAGACAGCCTCTTTCTCCAAGATTAACATTTCTTATGATTGTTCCTGACAGAGGATTTACTTTCAGAGGCCCTGCTAAGGATAACCAAAAAAGGGCATGTAGCAAGACAGTTTTGGCAGCTTGCACGAATTTTCGGAGCTTTTTAGGTCTTGGTTTTCTGATGAGTGGCTTCCTGAGCATGCCTAGGGAATGACAGGCATCTCTGCAGGCAGGCTGGACCCACCTTGGCTTGTGCGTAGTCATTGGCTGCCTATTAGAATAAATTGAGGACAATGCATACCGCTGCCTGCCAATTGTAAACATAAGGGATATGTATTCACTTAGCATTGACTGTTGGGAGGGGCCAAGGAAAAGCTGTAGTTTTATTGAATAGGGCTGTGTGTGAGGCTGCTGGTGTGCCTTTCTTGCTGTGCTCCTGCCCAAGCAGCCAGTTATTCATTTCCTTCCTACTAGTTGAAAACTTTTCAGCCACAGAGGTAAGGGCTTAAGATATCTATTTGTTTGGGAGCGAGCCGGTCTGACTGCATTTGCGTTATGGCTAGAGATTAAGCAGCATGCGAAATCTAACGAGCCATGGAAATCGTGCGAAAGTGTCGGATAGTATTTTTTCCTCCCCTCCTCTCTCCGTGCCCCCTCCTCTTTCCAGATGTTCATGGGGAACTAAGGGAGATATCTGTGCCGGGTGGTGGAGGGGGGTGCATGCTCGCCCACCCCAGCAGACCCTAATGCGGAGGTGTGGGGGCAAGGCTTTGGGTGCAGGGCAGGATCTGTGCTGGTTCCGCTCTGTGTGAGATCCTGCAGCAGGCTTGTTAGTGGAGAAATAACCAATCTGTCCTTTATTTTTTCTTGTTTGCTTTTATTTTTTTTTTTTAAAGGAATTGCAATGAAAAAGTTTTTAGTGTGGTAATGGCTGGTGAATTGCTTTTAATTTTGCAACTTAATACCTGGGCTTTCAGGCAGCCTGACTGTAGAGGCAGTCTCCCGGCGTAACTGATACAGATACAGTAAAGCTCTGGTTAATGTAACTGATCCGATACTTGCTGAAGCAGATGTCCGTCATGGCAGCCTTTCATAGAAGTATTGTTGACAATAGATGGCATCCGTTTTTGTCTGCAGCCTTCAACATGCGCAGCAGCGTATTGCCAGAATGTTTCTTGTGAAGTTGTCTTTCCTGTTAAAAGGGGGAGAAAAAAATGCACTTGGGTGGGACCGGAGCTCTTAAAGGTCTGGGGCTGTGTTTGTGTCAGTCAGAGGACTGCTGGGGAGAGCCAGCGAGCAGGCTCTCCTTCCCAGCTCCTTTGACATGCTCGGACAGTTTGAAAGCCTTGTGCAAGGCTGGCTGCTGATAGCATGATATTCTGCATAGCAGGGAATTTCTCAGAGAAAAGGCTGGGAAAATGAAGGGAGGGATGGAGTTAGCTGCAGATGGATACTTGGGAGCAGCAGACATTGACCAAACTTGTAACCTCTGGCCAGACCTGCAGCAATAGAATTGATTTTTCTCATATGTTATATATTGTTTGGAAGAATGGGCAAGATAACTGTTTTAAAATTACTTTTTGTGGAGTGTTTGTTTTCAGAGAAGTATTTATTTTCAGAGTATGCAGTTTTTATGCAATCTTGCCTAGCTGAGAAGGCTTCTCTTGCTAAAAGGCGTGCGGGAGAATAATTTATGAAAAAAACACAGTCCCTCCCTGGCAGCAGCTCAAAGAAAATAAGGAGGCAGAGTGTTTCTTCTGTGAGAACTGTGTATTTATTGCAATTTGTCTATTTTAGGTACCATACTGTGAATGATTGTGCTGGTATGGTTTGCCATCAAAGAACCCTGGGACCCTGCATCCATTCTTTCTCTGTCTCATTAAATGTAGCAGTAGGTTCTGTGTGAGCGTATGCATCTGCAAACAAGTTTCGTATCTTTCTCCTGCCATGGAGAGACAGGATGGGGTTTTAAAACTACAGACACCAAAACCAATGAAATGGACTGTTTTAACATAAATTACAAATGGGGTGATGCTTCAAGGAAGTAAGTGGTCCATTTGCTTAATTAATTTGCCTTTAAGATAAAGCAGGTCTGAACTATTCTCAACATATTTGAAGAAAGTACAGGTCTGCCTTTCTTTGGGAGGCTTTCTGATAGGCAGGTATCTTAGTCAACAAAACCTGCACATGTTAATGTAATATCTAAATCATGATGGTAGGGGAAAAACACCAGATAAGGTGCCTGTGAACAAGAGACTAAATTGAAATAACTTGTATTTCCCAAAAACTCCTCTTTGTCACAGCGTGCAATGACAAAAGGATCAATTCCACAGCCTTCATTCACAGGATTAGTCTTGGTGAAATCAATACCATCATTAACGGATGCAGGATCTGATGCAAGGGGAGTCCTGTGTACTCTGAATACGCTTTGACAGTAAGTGATGTAAACACGTATTAGGTGAATAAGGGATTTTCCACAATTGCTACTTCATATGCTCACAGCATTATTCTGACACGGAGCAGCCTGAGAAAGGGGTGACTTCCCTTGTGCTTTTATTTCTTGTCCAACACTGGTATGCAATGCAATAGTGACAGTGAAAGCTAGGTGATTTGAAAGGAAAAGGGGGGCGTAAGTTCCTCTGGCTGATGTTAGAGGGAAAATTAAAGTGCATTAAGATGGGAAGACTTCTTATTTCTCAGTCTTATTCATGGGGCCACATGTGGCGTGGAGGCATGCTGGTCAGTATCCATCTGGACCCGCATGGGGTTAGGGTGCAGTGCTACTGATTTCAGGTGGTGAGACTAGAAAGATAGAGCAAGGCTTTTTTCACTGGCTGCATGCTGGGAGGTAGCCTCTGTCACATGAAAAGAAAGATGACAGGGAAGGTCTATCAAGAAGGTACTCCTTTTTTCACCCTTCCCTGCCTGCAGCTGGAGTGGCCTTGCCTATGGGGGTGATCTTTTCATTGCATAAAAGTGAGAGCCTGCAGGTCTTCCTTGCTGCAGGACAAACAGCATGTGAGTGCCCTGAGACTGTTTAAAATACTCTGATTTCTCAGTTGCTTACATGAGACCTATTCTGTTGGCTGCCTGAGTTATAATTGGTATTAAAGATCAGTGGAGTTGTTAACCCCTATCTGCCAAGGGTACAACTTGAAACAACTTGGATTGCTGCAGATGAACAAAGAGGGACAGGAAACCATATATGCATAAGAAAGAGAGGGCCAAGAGAGCAGTGTTAGCTGTCCATCTGCAGTGCTTGTCTGGACTCTTTTGGGTACCAGAGAAAGCACCAAAAAAGGTAACAGGGCAGAATGGGAAGCATGATCCTGTGAACATTTTGTTGCCTTCAAGAGGAGCTTTATAGGGAGTTTGCAGGATTGGGCTCCAGGTGTACAAAGCCTGAGGCAGACAGGCCTGTGACTGAAAAGGGTGGGAGTCTATCTTCAAAGCAAGTTTTCATTCTTTAAAAATTGTCTCGTAACTACCCCCTGGCAGCTTGTAACAAGAAAGCTGCTTCCTTGCTAGAGCTCTCACCTTCAGAAATGTGCATGTGCAGAGGCTGGTTTGCTGGCTTTGTTCGTAGCTCCTGGGTGGTTTAAAGCCCCATGACCTGGTGAGAATGCATTTTGGGGGCATCTGTACTGGAAACAAGGCACCTACCTACACGCTGGCACTTACAGCTTCCCAGAAAACACCAGTGCCAAAAGAGTAACTGTTGCATGCCTCCAAATGGTTTGTCAAGGATTTGGCTAAGGCTGAAATTTGACTCAAAGGCATTTGAAGATCAGATTAGATCTGACCTTTCTGGATGAAACACTGAGGTCATAAGACAGCTGAACTATGTAACAACTTCTTTTTGCCTTTCCTGATCCTTTTGTACAGTTCAGCTAGTCCAGCAGGGAAGGATGCTCAGTACATTGTAATTTGGGATCCCTCCCACCCCCAGGGGAGCTTGCTCCTACTTTTCTTGAAACGGATTTGATTAACCAAAAAGGTTAGGGCACGTAACACCGTTACTTAGTTGCTGGCCCTGGTACGTTAGTGGTATGGCTTACATCTTGCGTAAGAAAGTGCTTCTTTTCATGTGTTTTTTCTTTGGAACTGTGCTTAGTGCTGATAAATGGTGTGGGGCTGGCAGCCTGACTGCTAAGCAGATACCAGCATTAGCAACATGGTGCCTACCGCGTCCCTCTCCCTGAGCATCACTAACTGGCCCTGTGGGGAATGCAGCCTTCTGGACTTTCTCACTTGCAAACCTCCTGGCTTCTGTCTTGCAGCAACTGCTGTGCATCCCGCTATAGCAGTGCCCAGGCTTGCTGGGGTCCCCGGCGGTGAGGTGCGTGGGCTCTGAGCTGGGGCACTCACCTCCTCCACTTATGATCAGGAACCACCACTGCTAACTGATGCCTCTTTCTCTCTCCCTGCCCCTTGTCTGCCCCTTGAGAGGGGGAAAACTGTCTGTGAAGCGTAGGGCACCTCCTGATCAGAAGATCCTGCCTATAGCAGCGTTTATGGGACTTTGGGTTGAAGCCAGGAAGAAGTGCTTGTGGGGACTGTCCAGCTGGCTTGCAGCAGGGTCAGGAGCAAATAACTGAGGAAGCAGGGGATAGAGAGAAAGGAAAAAGGCAGCTATATCTGAAGCCAGTGGAGTAGTTTTGCCTTTGAATTTTTTCATGTGGTCATAAATACCTGGTGAGTCACTTAATGACTGTGTGTCTGTTTCTGTATCTGCAAGTAAAAGATAACCTGTGCTTTTTTATATTTAGCCCATGGGGCTGCTGGGGCTTAATTCATTAGAATTTATAAAGAATTTGTAATACCAACATGCCAAGTTTAAGCACTGGCTAAAACCTTATTTTTGACTGATTTCCCAGCAAGAACATACACTTTTTTTTTTTGTTTGTTCACACAGATATGTATTCTACTAGAAAGTAACTTTTTCTAGAGTGTGCATGTAAAACCACTGAGGCCCAGCGACTGAGGTGGAAGATGGGCCAGGCTCAGTAGTGACACTGTGCTGACATGTCTGGAGGGAATTTCTTGGGTGCTTGCAGATTTAACTGCTCTTGCTGCATCTGAGATAGAGCCTTCCTGTGAAGTTGTAGTGCATGTACCAAAAATGTGGGATGACACCTTTTACTTACAGTGCTGCCACAGTGTCATAAGCTTGGAAGAGAAACTGCTAAGCAA